TGAAGCTCCCTTTTATCTAAAAGTCCAGAAATCTTGGTCATCCTCTTAAGAATCATGTTGGGAACTAAGATGTCAGGAAAGCACTGGTAATTAACACAGTTCACAGATACTAATGCCAGTAACACAACAATGAAAAAAAAAATTAATTTGGTCTTAGCACAGTTCCTTTTCTGTCATGTCCGTGTTTCTGTGAAAAAGCTTGGAGCCTTGTCTTTGAAGTATTCATTTCTACTGAAAACTTAGTATGTACATAAGTGTTCTTAATTTTGAGTGCTGTACAAATGCTTGGTTCTCTTGACATGTATTAAACCCAGGTATTTTAAAAAATAAGCTTTTTTTTTCTTTTTTTTTTTACAGACAGAAGCAGTGACAACATTGCCCTGGCTATTAGTTGTAGAGCAATTAGAATTCATAACTTCTGTCTTCTACTAAATTCCTGTTTGCTACTGTCCTGTGAACTCCCAATTCCTTGCTACCTTTCCTTATTTAACTGACCATTGCTTGAAGTTACATGAAATATTCTACTATAGAGTCTTATCCAACATAATTCTGTTATATATAAATAAAGAGTGTTGACTAAGAGTGATCAAACATGTTCTTGATTCATCATGGTGTGCCTTGTGCAATGTTTATAATTAGTCATGCTATGCAAATCAATTTAATTAAAATATGTGACAGACTTGTTAATGTAAGTCTTGTATTTGATTGTTTTATTGGTGTGTATATGTGGAAAGTGTTTTTGAATGATGAGACTCTTTAAGTTCTTGAGTTCCTCATGTTCATGTGCCTTTTTGTGCTGATGAGTGAGTTTGACTGAAATAGGGTAGGGCTTCCAGCCTTCTAAATTTTTTCTATGCATGGAAATGCACACAGGTTTAGATTTCTTTGGCAGGAGGAGAAACAGTTAACACTTACCTTCTATCTAGTCACTTCTGAGGAGCTCTTAACAGCCCTTGGTCCAGTGTATGGCACTGTGTGTGTCAGAGGGACAGCAAACTGGGAAGAAGGTTTTCCTTCTTATTCTCTAGCATTTTATATTCTTACTGATTAATTCAAGGGGCATTTTTTCTTCCTTCCTAGAAGGCAAAAATAATAAGTTATTATATCTGATGTTTATATAAACAGTTGTTTTGAACAACTGAAGTTGTTTAAAAACAATTCAGTTACTGCAGTAAAAATAATTGGCTGGTCCTTTATTATCATGTACGTAAAAGTGAGGCCTTAGATCTTTGATGAGAAACTTAGAAACCTCTATAAAGACAAGGTTATTATGTGTTGGTTTTGGAAAACAAGAGGTAAAAGGAAGAGAAAATAGAGAGCAGCAGTGGAAAAAATTAGGTGTGTGAGAGAGTGGTTGACTTAATGGAAGAAAGTGTTTTTTCTGATACAATGGCCATTTTGGCTATTTCCAAGTGAACTGTAGAAAAATACAACATGAGGTGTGGGGATGAATCCTGCCTGCCTTTTTAAGGCTAGTTTTTATCCTAGATTTAAATGGCATAGAAAAGGATGTTTCCAGTCCTTTAATGCTGGATAAACAGCTAAATAGCTGTTTTTTCATATGAGTAGGGAAAAAATAAAAGCCCTACTTTCTCCATTTTTAGGCCTGACTTTCTGATTTAAAACCTAGTGAAGTAGAAAGTAAAGACAGACACATGACTCCTGAAGAAAACTAGGAATAGATTGAGTTTGGAGTTTAGTTTGTGTATTTGTATTCCAGCATATTCCTGTGAGAGATAGGGAGTTGGAGTTAATGATCTTTAGGGATCCCTTCAAATTTGAGATATTGTATAGCAGTGCCTATTTTTAAATGGGTTCATAGAGAAAGCTTTTGATACAGATGCTAATATTGAAAATATGAAAATCTATACAAAATATTATTTGTGTGTTTTGATGATTAGGTACATTGAAGTTTTCTTGTTGTAATGTTTTTGCAGAACAGGGTGGGAGATTTTAATTGAATTTTCCTGACTTTTTTTTTCCAGGAAATAAACATTTGAAACCTAGTTCCCAATAGAACCGTATTGTTTAATGCAGGGAAAACATAAATATCAAAGCAAAATTCTATATCCTTTCTTGTCATAAAAATACAAGATGTATACCTACCTTGCCCTGAGTCTTGCAGTTGTAAGAAAATCAGAAATAACAGTGAAATAGAGGCAATCTGTAAAGGAATGTATGCTAAAATAATATATTTTTTTGATCTATTTCTTGATACAAATACATGCAAGTTGAGGGGAAGCATTCACAAGGTAGTGGCTGTGGAATGTAAAGTTATGTGCAATTCATAATACTCTAAATCACAGTAATGAGCTTCATGGACAGTTTGGATAGTTTTACAGGGAATTAAATAATCCTGTTAATGAAAGAAGATGGCAAATCTGCAGTTCATCCATGATGACTGGCTTCAACTTCCTTTTCATAGGTAAATATATCAAGTCTAAATACCTGATGGTAAAGCAGAAACATCTCTCAGTGTGTTGTCATAAATATTTACATTTCCCATATCATGATATTAGTGTCCCAATAGTTCTTATTCAAGCTGCTGTTAAAGACTGCTGCATATCAGATGATGTTTTGTGCAGGTAATTATACCTATAGAATCCAGTGGGTGTGTTTAAGTGTAATGGTTTGTCTGATAATCAGTTTGCAGGTGTTGTAAAAAGGAAAACTCATGAATGACCCGGTGCCCTCAAGATACAGTTGCCCTCACTCCTTCTCTTGAAAGAATCTTACTCCTTCAGTAAGAGAGCACAGCTGTGATTGTTTTAATACACAGGATGACTAATGGTTAGAGGGGGGGAAAGAATCAATAATAGGGTTTATGTAAGAAAATTGTTTGATTTGTCTTTTTTTTTTCCTTAAGTGTTTAACAGCGTTGTTCCTAAAATTATCCATCCCTTTGTTCCCTCAGGGAAATGTTGCTTTCATCCCAGTTTTCGTATAGAAGCTCCCACGTAGATGAGACAAGGCTGAAATAAGCAAAGCTTTCCTGCTAGAAATACCTCAGGAGCTTCTTTTTCTTCCCTAAACTAGTGGATTAAGGAAGGGGGGTTGTCAGTACAGTCTCTTATGCAGTGCTGGTACCTTTAATGTATGTTTAATGGTATTTTAGGAATGTTTTTCAGAAAAAAAAAATGCCCAAGTGCCTAAAGTTATGAGGGTTTTTTATTATAATGGGTGTCTTTTATATGTAATAGGTTGCATTTCATTAGGCAATTGGAAACATGCTGTCAGCTGGCATAGTTTTTAACCATGGGGACCTTGAAATAAAATCTTGCTGTGTTAGCTGAATGTGCTGTTGATACTTTTCCTCTGTCACCTCTGCATTAGTAAGTCAACAGGAAGCAAAGTGTGCTAACACCTCAGTTGCCTGTGTGTCATTGCCCCAATCCATCTGCACCAGCCCCTGGAACATCAAACTTGGGTTATTGCCACATTTTGTATGGAAGGCAAGTCAGTCCTGTGGGTGTGGGGGATCCTGCAAGGACCAAGGAAGTAATTCTCAGTCCTGTAGCTGTTCTGCATGACTCCTTCAGTAATAGGGAAATGGACATGCTGAAGCAGTCAACATACCTGTAAGCTGGGAAGCTGCTCCAGTCAGGTGTATCTTTTTGTGTTCTTACTTGTTTTGAAATGCCTGTTTAAGAAGTTTCTAATCAAAGGTGATGAAACAATTTTTTAAAGGGTAGAAATCCTTACTTAAAGCAGTGAAAGGGGGTGGAGCAATATTTAATGAAGCTGCCATATAAATATTGTTTTCTATTACTTTTGTTCTGTTCGCAAGTCTTGGCATGTATGAAAAAAGATGGCACCAACTACTGTCCACCTTCTGTTTGTGTGTTTGTGTTATGTATTGTTTGTAAATATGTGTGTTATGTATTGTTTGTAAATATGTGTGTTCTGTTGTGTTTGTGGGAGGCATTAGGTAGATGAGGTTTGAAGAATGAAGCTATTTCTCTTTATGGAATAAAGTAGTAGTGCCTGTATAAATGCCAGAAGACAAATTGCTGAGCCAAAGAGCAGCTTGTGTTAGAGCTTTATTCTTTACTCTTTTGTCCACACCCTGTAGTACAAAGTGTCTCTAACTGCAGACAGATGTCATCGTGTGAAGCTTCCGTATACGCCCAGAGTCCAAGGTGTAGCCAAGAGGCAGCATGTAGCCAGGAGGAAATGCATACTAGAGGTGGGCTCTGGGCTTGATCCTGCAAAATGCTTCTGTTTTGGTTGGATATTTTGTGGCTGTGCTGGAGAGGGAAGAACAGTGCAGCTGAGCCTTCAGGTGGTGCTGTGTTCTTCTCGATCTGCTGTGATCCTGGCTCATGAGCCTGAGATGTGCAAGAACAGAGCTATCCTGCCAACTGAGCATGATCCAGGATTTCTCTATAAAGAGCATCCCAGGCTACTGTGGCAGTCAGCATAGTTCATGTCATAAATTCTGACCCTTCTTCAGTTTTGTTATCTGTGCTGTTGAGGTGATCATATACTCTCAGTTTTCAATGAGCCACCTACAGACTTGTCAGCTAATGTCTGTGCCATCTTGTGGTGACTGATCAGGTTACATCAAGATTCCCTTAAAAAACAAACAAATTAAAAACTAGCCAAAACAAAACAACCCTGAAGTGAGGAAAAATAATGTCCTTTTAAAATTATAGAGTGATTCAAGCTGGCAGTTTTTCTGTGGTAGCATTTTGAAATGGTGAGCACACATTGAATTGAGGTGGAAATGGATGAAGAATGAGGTATCTCTCAGGTGAAGATCCAGCATATTCCATAGTGGCATTTGCAGCTGTGAAGGATGAAATATTCAGACTGTAAAACTTGTGAGCAAGCATTGTGTTGTAAACGGCTAAAGAAAATCCAGAATGCCAGCATATGAGGGAAATCAATTAACTAAAACTACCTGGACTGTTTGGACTTTGGTCATTTTGCATAGTGTGTGGTAAAGGTTGGTGCTGTAAAACTAATGGCATGGTACAGGATTTTCAGAATTTTTTTGCCTTGTGTTTTCCACACAAGCTAGAAATTCTTAATTTTGCGTTTTCACATGTGGAAAAGAATGTTCCAACACCTGCCTGTAATTGTGGGTGTATGCATTCCTAATGCAAAAGGTATGTACTGCATAGGAAGGTGATTAAGGGGGTGGGGGGGCGGTGGCACACACGACACCCAGCACATGCAAATACACAAGAGGACTCATCCTCATTGTTTTAGGTTAAGCTAAAATTTCTAAACATGAATAAGCAGAGGAGCTGAGCAAAAAGCAGGTTCATGCCTGGAGCCTTCCAGGCTTCTTTTCACTCCGTGCTCATCTGCTTGTGCAACCGCAGCTCCATTCTCGCTGCCTGGAGAGGAGGAAGGAGCAGCCTCTGCTGCCGAGGTGCTTCCAGCTCTCCGCAGGCGGGCAGGAGACAGCGTTCCCAAGGCCGGCTCGCCGCAGCTGAGGAGACAGCACTCATAGACCCTCCTTTGATTAGGATGTGTCCGTGTTGTCAGGGCAACTGTTAACAGCGGCGTATCAAATTTTCTCCTCTTGTATTGCGTGCTGAATATTTTAGTGTGCTGGAGCTGGAAGAAGGTGCTGCTGCAAGGAACCTGGAGCTGTGGGCTGGGATCTCTGACTGAACAGGTTAAGACGGCAAAAAGCAGCATCCAAACCAATGTGCCTTTAATTAGGGTTTTTCTTCAAGGAGGGGAACAACTGCAAGCCTTTCGCTGTCGACTAGATGTTGGTATTTGTCAGCTGTTTGCATACTGCTTATCCATAGGGGATCTGTTACAAGTGCTCAAATGAACAGACAGCCTTGCAGCTAGTGGCTAATCAGGGGCTGGAGTTTCTTACTTTTTTTTTAATAAGCAGAAGGCAACAGCAACATGCCTGGTTCAACTACTGCCCTCCGACAAGAGAGACTGAAGAAAAGTGCCAGGCCAAATCCCCCAGGTTTATTCACCATTAATGAAGAGGATGAGCAGCAAAAAAATGGGAATTCCATGAGACTGAAAGGTACGTTGCTGTTTTGCAGTGTAATCAGGGCTGCCTGTGGGATATGATGCACAGCAGTGTTTTATTAGCTCTTCTGTGTGCTACAGAGAGTCTGTAAGTGACTGGTGCAGTTTGGCACTCACAAATGTGCTGTGCAGGATAGATGTACTTAAATCCCCCGGCTTGTTATGCAACCAGCTGCTTTGGCTATGAAGAAAACAATACTTTTTAGTTATTAATCATGTTTCTTCTGGTAGGGATAATGGTCCTGCATCAGAAATATATGAGTGAGTTTCTGTGTGTTTACTTTGACTTCTGTTTACAGTCTGGGTAAATAACTGTTAAAAACAAGGGAAGGCTTGGAGAGTACAGAATGCAATGCCCTCCTGTTATAGAAGACAGCTTTGCCAAAGACAATGTGAAACTGTCTATACTTCCACTCCTGTGCAGGAGGGGCAGTGTGCCTTTGGCAGAATATAGAAAAATACACATTGTTCTAATATGCTGACTTTTTGCCTGACAACAATATTGAACAGAAAACACAAACCCAACAATTGTTAAAGAAAAATATTTATGGTGCTTAAAGTAGGTAAACAGTGGTAGCAGAGGGATGCTGATGGCCATTGATTTATAGCAGGTCTGTCAAGCCTGGGTAGCCACTGTCTGCATTGTATAATTTCATTCCTACTTCCTACATGGATCCTAGTATTTAAACACTTTTAGTCTGGCAGGGATCCTGCTACTTACAATTGTGACTGTAATTTTTTTTTTTTTTTTGTCTTTAAGTGGTTCTATGTGTATGAGCCCTCCTTTTGAGGGGGCAGAGGGAAGGGGTGGATTGTACCAGGTTTTGTTTACAAAACAGATGTTTGTAGCCTCAAGACACTGTTTTAAATTTCAGTTATTACCATTCTACCATGTAACGGGAGAGGCTTGAAAGCATTTAAATAGCAAATTTTTAGTATGTGTATTTATTAGATCTGAATAATTTACAACTAACTGATTATTTTCTTTTTCTGAAGGAAAGAGGTAGCTAGCTTGGTAGCTTTTACAAACAAGTTCATTCAAAACTTGGGTTTTGTTTGTGGGAGTTTTTTGAGTTTGCAGCTTGTACTTTTTTTTTACCTCAGAATGGTAAAAATCTGGTTAGAGCTTCATGATAGAATATACATTGCTAGTCATTCTTAATATCCTTGTTATGTTAGGGTTTTGTATACACAGTTACCTGCTCTTCTGTGTATTTGAAACTGCCCATATAAAATGGAGGTCCAAACTCTAGGGTGAGGTTGAGTTCTTAATGTTTTAAGAAGCATATTACTTTCCTTTATCACCCGCTGGATCACTTCCAGAGTCAACAATCCATAAAGCTAAAAATCAATAATTTGCCTGGTTTTGTTCAATGGCACTGCTAGTTTCCCCACAGTTTGTTGACTTAGCTACTCTTTTCTACTTGCAGGAGCTATACAGATGTGCTTATCCTTTGTCTGTCTTGTTTTAACTGAGATTTGATTTTTGATTATTCCTTTATTTTCTCTTGGTGCTGTGAAATGTAAGCAGATGTATGTGAACAGCAGCACAGATAACAACAAACAAGTTCATGCAGTTCCAAGAAGATAAAAAAAAATTTAGCTTACCTTGACTACTCCTGGTGAGAAATAATATAGGAAATGGTACAAAATATTCTGGAATGATATTAATTTGCTTTTCATGTTACTAAATGTTGAAGATATCACATAGTTTCTCTAGATCAGTGCACGATGTGCACAGTGATACCTGTGGGTGAATACCTGTCTGTGCATTTGAATGTTATCAGTCATTATGTGGGTTTGGCTGGAATGTGGGTGATGGAGAATTCGTGTACTCAGGGTGCTGTTCCTCTCTCCTGGTACCAAGTGCAGCTCTGGGTGATGAACTCACATGGGCTTTAGTGAATCTTTAGTGTCTCTTGTTCTCTTGCTTCTTTACAGGGTTTGCCTTTCTTAGTTCTTTACCTGTTGTTTTTGCTCAGCAAGCACCTGCAGCTACTGAGATGTTTAATTTTTTTTTCTCTCTAGCATATTCTAAGTCTGGGTCATCTTTGTGGGAGAAGGGCTAAATGTCTTCATCTGCAGTTTCTGTTATCATGCTGGACCCGTCTTTGTACAGCAGTTTAAAACCCAAGAGGCCTTTAATGGATCTGATACTCCAAAATAAAGAAGTTCCTTCCTCCATTAAGAGTATTTGAATATCATCACAAGATCTAAAATAATCAATATTTTCATAGTTGAGGTCTTCTCAGAAAACTAAAGCTTGATTAGACTTTCTATGAGAGTTTTTCTGATCTGGGAAACAAATGTTTATATGCATCTTAAAGTGGCTGGCCTTCATGAGGTTTACTGTAAATTTATTTTAGTATTGGCCATTCCTTTGCTTGTCTGTCTTCATTGTAATTGGAGGAGTCTGGTAGGCAAAATGAGTTTGTTTCTTCAGTGAAAACAAATAATGACAATGTTGGAGATATTAAAAATACACAGTGACCTTTATAGCAGTGTGCTCCTGATGTTTCCTTGCTTTGATGTGAACTGTGCTTAGTGCTTTTTCAACAAATATTTTAACTTCCTTTCTTCCTCTTGCCTTTGGGACAAGACCTGCGTATTTGTTATAGGTCTGTATGGCACCCACAATTTCAGGGTCTTGAGATCCTGTTGTGTAAGTAGAAGAGTGCAAATAAAAAAGGATATTGAAAATAATTGTTACCTTTGTTAACAGTATTTATTCTCTTTCCCTGTTATAACATACAGGAATTTTGCAACATAGTGCACTCTTCAAATACAATTTCTATAGGTTTACAGAAGCTTATTCTGCACTTGAATTGGGTTTTGGTTTTGTTACCAGCTTTCCTGCAGTCCTGCAGTAAAACAGATATTGTTTCTGTGACTGAAGAGAATGTGTATATGTGGTTCTGTACATAAATACTTTGAGTGGATTAGTGTTTCACACACAGGATGGATACCTGTACTTAACTTCAGCTTCAGCAATTCCTTGAATTCAGGCACAAATAATTTGATCTGCCTTAGAGGATTTCCCTCCTCTGCTCTGTTAGTTTTGTTCTCTTTGTATGTAGTCTTAAAACCTTACTCAGTTTTATGAAATTTTAAAGTGATGCCTCCTCTCCTTCCTCTTAGGAGGAGGACCTTATCAACTGTTGATAATGTGTTTCTAAAACGATCACTTGATGAATCTGGAAAAGCAATGCTCATCTTTCTGGGTTATGGATTTGATTACTTAACTGAAATAATTATGACATTTGTGACAAATTAATGAAAAGTCTCAATTTAGCTGTGGAATCCTTCACCATCCTGCTCATTTAAAACTGATCAAGGGAGGGTACCTCTAATCTGATGTGTGAGGTATTGCTAATACAAAGCTAGACGTACATGCCTTAGTTTTCTGAACAGTAGCACTGATTCTTTGTCATCTTGAAAACAAGAGAAGGGCTTTTTCCAGTCCTTTGGTGAATGACAGTGATGTTAGTGATCACCAGCAGGTTTTGCCACTGTTGTGTGGCTGGTAATGTTTGTGCATACTGCTCATTTCAGATGAAAGTTTTGTTCTTCCAGAGGGATGGAGGAGACTTCTTCTATCATAACTGTTTGGGTGCTTAGTCACATGTTCTGCATGTATTAGTGAAACATATATATATTTTTTTAGACTCAGATTGTCTAACTATTAATTCAGTTGTTGTCTGTTACTGTATGTCTATACCCAAAGCAGACTTAAGATACCTGAAAGAAAAGGGAACTTGGCATCTTCAAGGGCATTAAGCTGACAGTCCTGGAAACTGAAACTTTATACTTACAAAACAGGTATTGCATGGGGTGTGGAAGTGTAATTTTATCCCACGCTGCAGAGTCTGTGCCTCAGGCAGGATCCAGAATGACAGCAGTTTCTGGCTTTCGCCACACTTTAAACCAGCAAAACTGCCTGGGATGCTGGTTCTCAATGGGGCCTCTTGGTGCTGGTTAGGAGGCTGACCTGTTTGTTTGGGGCAAAACACTGAACAATTGTTAAAGGCTGATGAACTGGCTTAACAAAATCTGGAGGTTTTTCTGACAATGCATAGCCTTATCTTTCCCATCTGCATTTGAGGCAAAGCGAGTGGAAGGAAAGGGAAGGAAACTAATTCTCATTTTGATGCTGGTTGTATAAAGGGGCAGGGTTGAGAATCTGGACAGTGTGTTCTGGTGTCCTGCACCTTCCAGTGAGTTCTGCTCATGTTTCTGTGCACTTCCTTTCTTTCTGCTAGCCAAGGCCAGGAGAAGAGGGGTCCAAAAGTATCTGTGATTCTTCTGGACATTTATTTACAGAATTACAGGAAAAAGGTGACTTGGAAGGGACCCGCAAGGATCATTGAGTCCATCTCCTAGACCATCACAGGACCATATGTGAGAATCACACTATGTGCCCAAGAGTGTTGTCCAAACATTTTTCAAACTCCATCAGGATTGGTTCTGTGACTGCTTCCCTGGCAAGCCTGTTCCAGTGCCCAATCACCATCTAGGTGAAGAACCTTTTTGTAATTCTAACCTAAACCTCCCTTGACACAACTTCAGGCCATTCCCTCCGGTCCTGTAATTGGTCAGCATAGAAATCAGTATCTGCCCCTCCTCTTCCCCTCACAAGGCAGTTGTAGATTCCAATGAGGTCTTTTAAAATGCCTCTCAAAGCTTCTATGAGGTACATTCTTTAAAAAGCCCTACATTCATTGCTTACAGTGTAGCTGTTCAGGGTATAAAAAGGAACTTGTGTTTTTTTTCAGGAAACTGCTGCCTCTTTGTAGGGACTCCCCAGTCATAGCTGTAGGTGCCAGGTACCAGGAAGCATTCAATTTTTAACCATGACAGAGAGATCCTAACATGAAATAATTTATAAGCAGTAAAGCAAAGAGACTAAACTGGAAGTCTGGGGGGCAGCAGGGAATGTGTCTACAGACCAGTGGAGCAAATCAGATTTGTTCAGTCCCTCTGGCTTTCAGAAAGTCC